TGGTGGTGATGGGGAATTCTTTGCCCTGTGACCTCCCTTGGATTAATTTCTCCCCAGGACAATGGGAAAAATCATTTAATCCTTGGAGGTTTTTATTTTTTATTTTATTTTTATTTTTAGTTTGCCTGAGAGTGACTCTGATCATGTTTCTGATGGTTCCTCAGCATCGTACTGAGTAAGTCACTGGCCGTGTAGCATCTGCAGTGATTGGAGTGACCCAGGATCCCCAGTTCCCATGTCACAAATGAGGATCCCACATATCTGGGGCAGCGATGGAACATTGTTTCTGGGTGTGTCTATCTAATCTACTCATCCCATCTATCTAATTTCTCTCTCTCTATATATATATCTGCTTACCCATCCATCCATCAATCCATCTTAGCTGTAGGTTCATCCATTCATCTATTTATCCTATTATCTATGTATCTATCTTCTATTAATAGCTATCTATCCATCTGTCTAATATATCCATCATCTATATCTACTTTGTCTATCTACCTAAGCTATCTATCCTATCTACTCTATTATCTATCTACCCATCCACCCGGACCTTGAGTTGATTCCTCTGCACTCAGCTGGCCTGAGGCCAGGTGTTTGTTGGCTGCCCAGGCTCGGGAGATGCACCCAGGCTGCAGGGATTGGTTGGCCCAGCCCAACCCAGTCAGCCCTCCCACAGCCTTTCCTACATCAAGGGCCAGAGTCAAAGGCCTCCCAGCAGACAGGGAGAGGAGGTTGTGTGGGACAAACTGCTCCTGACAGAAGGTACCAGGCTGGGAGTGGCAGGTCTGGGGGGGTCCTGGCCTGGGATGAAGAGGGGTACTGCCCAAGGCCCATGCAGCTCCCAGGTGCTGGCCTGGAGGATGGGAGGTTTCCTGGTAACTGAAACCAAGCCCCTGGCAACCTCCCAGTGATTCAGGCTGGGCCTTTCTGGACTTTAATCAGTCTCTCTCTCTCTTTCCCATTCTGAGTGTTTACTAGGGAACTGGAGGCCACTTGGCTGCTGGTTTTGGCTGGGCCTTTCTGGACTTTACCTCTCAGTCCCTTTTTACCCATTGCTGAGCCCTCCCTGCTCTACCTCCAGCACTGCCCGTCCCTGCCTCTTCACTATCCCTGGAGCTCCCTGGGCCCTTCCCTGGGCCTCAGGATCTCACCCTCCATCCCATCTGCCCTGCAGGATGTCCCAGCTGAGCCTGTCCTGGCTGGGCCTCGGGCCGGTGGCAGCGTCCCCGTGGCTGCTCCTGCTGCTAGTCGGGACCTCCTGGCTCCTGGCCCGTGTCCTGGCCTGGGCCTACGCCTTCTATGACAACAGCCGCCGCCTCCGGGGTTTCCCACAACCCCCGAAACGGAACTGGTTTTGGGGACACCAGGGCATGGTGAGTGTGGCAGCAGGACGGGTCTAGGTCTCAGGGTGGATGGACTTCCTGAGGGGTCTGAGGCTGACGGAGTTGGGGTGAAGGGGGTGGGCTGGGATCTGGGGTGGCAGAAAAGCAGGGGAAGCGTCTTACTCATTCTTCTGTTTATTCACTTATTTCTGTGCTGTGCCAACCCAAGCCCTTCTCACCTCCTCATCTTCCCACTCCTGGCCTGCATTGAATCCTTTTCCTGCCTGTCTTCCCACATTAATGCACCTCTGCGGGGCTTCTGGGCAGAGGGTTGGCTGCACAGAGAGGCGAGTCCCTGGCATTCCCACATTCTCCATGGCTGGACTCGAGGCCTCCTGCACCCACTGTCCAGGGTCCTCTCCCTGCCTGGACTATTTCCTGTTGTGAGGGTACAGCTGGGCTAGAGGAGAGGCGTGGGCGCTCTCCCACTTCCACCATATCTGAAGGCCCCTTCCTCTTATCTTCCTCTTCCTCTTATCTCCCTCTTACCAATGAGACCTGTTACCAAACCCAGATAAAAGTTGGTCACTCACTTCCCCTTTCAGAAGCTTTCCTTGGCCTTTCCCTTCCCCAAGACCTTGCCCTCTGACTTAGACTTGCTCTCTTCTTTGGAGGATGTGGTCTTAGTCTGCTCATTTGCAAATGGCAGGATTGATGGGTGTGTCCACAGGTGAAGTGGGAGGGTGCACAGGACGCACTAGCACAGAGCCTGGTGCAGAAGCTGCTCCCAGGTGGGAGACACTGCCCTGATGGACAGTCAGAGTCACCTCTGCTCCCCTAGTGGCTGCTGAGAAGAGAGGGTCCCCTGTGTGCAGAACCTTCTCCATGGGAGGAACCGGAACCTCTGTGAACCAGTCAGGACATGAAGGGGTGTGGGGACCAGCCTTAGGGACATGTCCTGAGGCCATACTGCTCCCTACGAATCTCCCCTGTGAGGACCTCCCCATGTGGCCGCCTCTGGGCTGAAATGACTCCCAGAACAAGAAAATCTTTCCTCTCAAGCTAACTGGGCCTCTGTGAGTGGACGGTGTGTCTTCTCCCTCCGCCCTGGGATGCACCCTTGGGACTTGGAGGTGGCCCCAAGAGAGAGAGAGAGCAGGAGGAATGTGGATAGATAGATAGACAGATAGATAGATAGATAGATAGATAGATAGATAGATAGATAGACAGATAGACAGATAAATAAATAGACAGATAGATAGATAATAGGATAGATAGATTAGATAGATAGATAAATAGATAGATAGATAGATAGATAGATAGATAGATAGATAGATAGATAGATAGATAGATCGATCAGGAGGAATGTAGATAGATAGATAGATAGATAGATAGATAGATAGATAGATAGATAGATAGATAGACAGATAAATAAATAGACAGATAATAGGATAGATAGATAGATAGATAGATAGATAGATAGATAGATAGATAGATAGATAGATAGATAGATAGATCGATCGATCAGGAGGAATGTAGATAGATAGATAAATAGATAGATAGACAGATAGATAGATAGATAATAGGATAGATAGATAGATGCACAGATAGGATGGATAGATGGGTGGATGGATGGGTGGACAGGTACGTAGATAGATAAAAGGATAGATGGATGCATGGACACATGGATGAACAGATAGGATGGATCGATGGATGATGGATGGATGGGTAGATAGAGTAGATAGGATGGATAGATTAGGTATACAGATAGAGTAGGTATATATGATGGATACATTAGACAGATGGATAGGTAGTTATTAATAGGTGATAAGTAGATAATAGGATGAATATATGGATGGATGAAAGTACAGATAAGATGGATTGATGGATAGATGGGTAGGCAGATAGATATATATATAGAAAAATTAGATAGATAGGACGAATAGATTAGACACACCCAGAAATGTTTGACCAACTGCCTGGGCATCCCTTAGCCTAGTCAAGTGGACACCTAGAATTAACCATCACAGAAGGTAACGACCCCTGCCTTGCTTGCAGGTCAAATCCACAGAGGAGGGCATGAGAGTTCTGACTCAGCTGGTGGCCACCTATCCCCGGGGCTTTAGGGTCTGGATGGGCCCCGTCTTCCCCCTCCTCAGTTTGTGCCACCCCGACATCATCCGGTCTGTCATCAATGCCTCAGGTACCATCTGGAACACCTGGTGGTGGGTGCTGCAGTGCATTTGAGGCCTGCACTTCCTCTATCCCCAAGCTCCTGTTTGGTCCCTGCAGTACTCTGGCCTCTCCTTTCCTTCTCTCTCAGCCATCTTCGTCTTTCTTTCATGTATTCATCAATTCCCATCTCAGCGTCTCCTCTCTCCATTGCCATCTGAACCCCTGTTCTGGTATTCTGGGCTGCCCTGGAACACCCCGAGAGACCTCAACTCAAGGCTCTGTCTTGGAGGAAACCCCAACCTTAAGGAGATGGACCTGGATAGAGATATCCCCAACTTCATGGGATCAGAAAAGGGCCAGAGGGAGATGGATGACGGTCCAGGGAAGAACAAGGTCTCTGCTGGGGCAGGCTGGAAGACTTCCTGGAGGAGGAGTTGCTGGAGCTCTGTCTGGAACAATGAGTAGGAATGTTTGAAAGGAGAGTGCAGGGTGATGCAATTGGACATTGGTAGTATTCAAGGCCCCTTGCCAGGTCTAGCATCAACTTGCCTGTCCCAAAGCCTAGAACAATGAGGAGGACTTGTGGCTGGTGGGAGGTCGGGGCTGCTATTTCCATGATGTCCACCTCTGGTGGGTCAATTCCTTTTACCCCATCCTATAGCTTGTCTACCCTAAGTTCATTGCTCTCCTGCTGCAGGCCCTGGGGATCTCCAAAAGGAGACTCCACCCCAGCTTGGGACCCTTTCCTTGATCTCTGTGCTTCCCATCGTTGGACAGGCCAGGCTGAGCAGGGGGAATGGGCAGCATCCTACAGAGACCATGGCTCTGACATTAAAATGCTGAGTGACTCTGGGCTGGTTCCCAGCTGTCTCTGGTTATTGAGGTCTCTTTCCATTGTGAGTGGTGGAAACCCAACCTAGTGTGGTCTAAGCAAAGAAAGAGAACCTATTGACTTTAAAGTCCAGGGAGGGTGGCCTTCAGGCATGGCTGGATCCGGGTCTCACACAATGTCACTAGGAATCTGTCTTTCTCTCTTGGCTTTAGCTTTCTCCAGGCTGCTTTTCCTTTCAAGGCGGTCTTTTCCTCATGATGTCGAAGATGAGTCCCAGAAGCTCAGTTCCCATGGGAAACCCCACCTTTCCCCCAGAGTTCCCAGAAATGGCCCATGATTTACTTCTCCTTGCCTGAGTCATAGGACCAATTTTTCACCCAATCCCTGTGACTCTGATAGGCCAGTCTTGGCAGGCCTGGGTCTTCCAGAGCTACTGTTTTGGGGGCGCAAAGAAGTTTGTTGGTTAAGGATTCAGGCCATGGGTGCAGACAGACCCAGTCTCAGGCCTCAGACTTGCCATGGTCTGGGACTGTGGGCAAGTGACTTTCTTGTTCAGAGTCTCAGGCTCTTCATCTGGAAAATGGGATGAATGAGAGCCCAGGAAACACGGTGTGTGGATCCACATGAGGAAAGACCTCTTTTCTGTCTGTGTAACTGAAGGACTGGAGAGTCTTGCCTGGAGGATGTGAGGAGGAAGCCCAGGTGGGGCTCAGCACTGAGAGGAGGATGAGATGCTGCTTGAAATCCTCAGGACGAGGGCTTCGACCTCTTCTCTGCAGATCCTTCTCTCTCACAGCCTAGGACAGCATGAATTGGGTCCTGTTTGTTTTTCTCCAGATTCACAGCTCGGAGGAAGGTCTTCTATACACACAAAGCCTGGTGGGCACCTTTGGTGATATGTGCTGCTGGTGGGTGGGGCCCTGGCAGGCAGTCATCCACATCTTTCTCCCCACCTGCATCAAGCCTGTGCTCTTTGCTCCAGGCAGACATTGCACTGGCCACGCCTTGCCCACAGCTGGCTCCAGCTGATCACGTGACCCATGTATAGCCAGGTGGGGCTGTGGTGGAGACGCCATTGCCTCCATCGCCCCTGGACTTCCACCTGTCTGACCTCTATTCCTGCTTGCTCATGTCTGGGACGTGTCTCTATGATGGCTGTTAAATGGTCAGGTCTGCTGTACGGCTATGTCTTGTCACGTGTATATTTACACGTGGGTCCTGGTTACACCTGAAATGTGTTATACCTGGTTACATCTGGTGTATCAATCCAACCGGGGCCATGTAGAGCTGGTCATATGTGGGGTTGATCTGTGGCCAAGGACATGTGGGGCATGTGAGGGCCTGTTTGGTTCTTGTCTCAGGTGCTGTTTGACATTGCTGTTTCCTCCTGCTGGTCACATCTGGGCCATGTTTGGGGCTTATGTGAGGTCTGGGACCCAGAGTCCCTGCGTGAGCTGTCTGATACATTATTTGAGTCTTGTCTGAGGCTGTGTTATAGTATGTTTGGGTCATGCCTAAGGAACAGTCTGGGTCACATGTGGGCTATGTCTGGGACGTTAAAGATACCATATTTATATTCAACCCGGAGCCTGTATGTGGAACACGCGTTTAAGGTCATGTTAGACCATCTCATGTGCATGTTAGAGCATACTGTCTCGTGTTAGGAATTGTCATGTATTTTGTGGCCATGTCAGGACATGTGAACACATGTCAGGGTCATGTCTCATGTCCAGGTCCATGTCAGAAGATGCCATGCCAGGAGATGTCAGAGAGTGCTGGGGCAGACAGGGTGTCCTAGGTCCATGTGAAGGCATTCTGTAGAGTGCTGAGCTGTGCTCAGGGGTTGAGGAAAATGTTGGGTCATGTAGGAGGCATGTCAAGGCATGCTGGAGCCCCGACATAGCTTCTTTGTGCCAGGTTAGGCAGTGCCATCGCTGTACTGTGCTGCCATAGCCTGGTCTGGTCTTCTCTCCCCTCCCCCATCCTCCTTTCTTCCTCTGCCCTTGGCCCCCTTCCTGTATGTGGGGCTCGGAAGGGAGAAATGCAAACCTCTTGCTGGGAGCCTCCCCCCACCCCCAAAGTTCCTCCTTCACCTGCCTCCATGGCCCCTGATTGTCCTCATTTATGTCAGCCGCCCTTGTACCAAAGGACAAGTTCTTCTACAGCTTCCTGGAGCCCTGGCTGGGTGAGTATCTGCAGGTGAACAGGGTTGGGAACAACCTGGAGGGCCAGGGGAGGGAGACGCCCTTGCCCATGGCCCTTGGCTTCCCTGTTAGGGGATGGGCTCCTGCTGAGTGCTGGTGACAAGTGGAGCCGCCACCGTCGGATGCTGACACCCGCCTTCCATTTCAACATCCTGAAGCCCTATATGAAGATTTTCAATGAGAGTGTGAACATCATGCATGTGAGTTATTTGAAGCCAAGGTCCCAGCTGCAGCCTTTGGTTGGGGGGACCACAGACAGATCTGGTTTGGAATTTTGGCTCTGCTTGTGCCATTGGGCCATTGCTCTTCCTCTCTGAGCCTTGGTTTCCTCATCTGTAGAATGGGGCTAATAATCCCTACTTAAAAGATGGTCAAGGTGATGTAATGGAGTCATGTCCCTGGTGCACAGTAGGTGCCCAGAAGGTGTCTGTTTCTATGTTTCCATCACCCTGGCCCTGTAAACTCAAGAGGGTCATGACGACCATTGCATA